TAGTACCTATATATGTAATATCAAAGCAATTGCACTTGCGGTTTTTAACAAGAAGTCGAAAATATCACTTTCTACCAAAAATGACAAAAATATTCACCAAAATTAGAGAATTGAAGATATCAACATGAAATGAACAAACCTAAGAGAGGTCTACCCAAGGTACATATACACCAAGTATCAAAGCATTCAGGCTTGTAGTTTTCAAGAAGAAGTCGAAAAAGTAAAACATTGACACGGACGACGCCGACGGACGCCGACGGACAATCACTCATATGATAAGCTCCGCTCGACAAAGTCGACAGCGGAGCTAAAAAGAGAAACCCAACACCATGTTCCTATCTGAAAAATAAGTACATCAACATTGAACAATGAAAAAATAAGTTCAAGATCAAAATCAAATCGATCGATTTTTGTCAGTCCGCACCTTTTCACACATAAAATCGATAAAAGTACTGAAAATTTATTGTTTATTGTTCGGTTACAGTGCCTTTATATGGTAAATACACTGATGTATTATCTGTTTCTTATATTGTAATATCTGATCTCAATAAACAAAATCAGTGATCATAACCTCTATACTACATATAAAGTTTGCCATCTACAATGGCCACCAGCTTTAAAATACTATAAGAATATTTCTTGATATGATTTATTCATGTTCCTACATGGGAATCATTATGTATCAAGGAAGAAGTCTATTCATAACCACTAATACCCAGAATCCATCCATTTTGCATGTTGAATTTTGAGGCTTGGTGACCAGCCTATTTTTCAAGGAAATGATGATTATATTATAATAGTGAATGCAGGCAGCCATTTTGTCAGTATTATAACACTTATACAATTGGTTCTTACAACAGAGATAACACGTCTCATTGCAAAATATTGAATGATATCATGGGAAAATACATATGATCTACATATGATCCCAAAAAAAACAATGGAGTTATGTGTTTTTGACTCCCATGTGCGAAGCACAAAATGGGAGTCTTTGCAGTTAGTGTGTCTGTATGTGTGTATGTGTGTCCGCATAGATGCTCTGGGCCAATGCGCAGATTTGATTAGGTTTTGGTAAAAATCCATGCTCGTTAATTACCTAATTTGCATGATAATTAGCTATTTTTTAGTGGTTCCATGACTGTTCCACTGATATCTAAACAACCACTCATTGGATTTTGATGAAACTTGGTACATAGATGCTCTGAACTAATGCTAGGTTTTGATTAGTTTTTGGTAATAATCCGTGGATACAAATTACCTAATTTGCATAATGATTAGTCAATTTTCGGTTTTTCCACTGATATCTCAAGTACTAATCATCACATTTCAATGAAACTTGGTACATAGATGTCATATAACACTGCACAGACCTGATAGTTTTTATGGTAATATCAGTACATATAATTACCTAATTTGCATAATTAATTAATTTTCAGCTTTTGAT